CTGCGCGATGGAGCCGTGCCCGACGTGCTCATCGTCCCGGTGGGAATCGCCTACGATGTGGCTCCCGGCGGAGAGCAGTGGGATGGAGCGGTGAGAGAGGGGGTCGGGGCGGCGCTGGTGCTCCCCCAAACCTCTGGCACCATCCCTGGGGATCAGTGTTCCCCTAAAGCTCTGGGAGGATCCCTAGGGAGAGGCGTTACCCCAGATCTCTGGGAGCAGAGATGTCCCCCCAAATGCCCCACTGATCCCTCGTTCCCATCTCTTGGCAGCCCCCTCAGCCCCTCRGCATCGGCGCGTGTCTSCGGGCAGCGTTCCAGGCCCTGCGCCGGCACCGTGGGTGTGCCCGCGTGGATTTCTCACAGCCCTTCTCCTTACGGGTACGGCAGCTGGGCATCCCCCTGCACACATCCCCACCCATTGGGAGACTGTTCTGGGGTGTTGGTGGGGTTTGAGGTGCCTGGGGGGATGGAGTGAATCCATCCTGGGGAAATCTGGGCTCCTCCCAGCCCTGGGGATCCAGGGATCCAGTCAGCTCCTGGTGCTGCGGGCTGCGAGCACCCACAGCTCCTTCATCCTCCTTCCCAGGAATTTGTGGACCACAACCTGGTCGGGCCAGTCCTCACAGGGAACCGTCCGGAGCAGCTGTTGCTCTCCACCATCCTGGGCAGGCGGTGAGGAGCTGAGCCCCGGGCAGGGTTTCCCTTGGGATCTCTGCTCCCGGCTCCTCTCCTCACCCCTCTCCTGATTTCCCAGCCCGCCCGATGTTGGTCATGTGGGGACTTTGGGTCCCACTTTGGGGACTGAAGAGGAGATTTTGGTGACGGCGCTGGGGCTGCACGCGCTGAGTGGTGAGGGGGCTGGGGGTCCCTGCATCCCTTGGGATGGTGTTCCCTGCTCGGGAATGGGGGTGGAGGTTAATCCCCCCCGATAATGATTTCCTGTCCCCCCACTGCAGATTGCAGCGCCTGCTCCGCCGTCACGGCTGTGGGAATCACTGCGGCGCTGCTGCTCCACAGGCACCGCGAGGTGGGAGAGCTTTTGCATCTTTGCCTTCCCTCAGAACAGCATTCCCAGCAGGAATCCCCCTCCCAGCAGGGCAGCGTGCCCAGAGAGAATCACCCTCCTTTGCCTGGGAGCAGCATTCCAGTAGTCTTCATCTTCCTTTACCTGGGAGTAATAGTCCTGATAGGAATCATCCCTTCTCAGAGTAGCATTCCCAGTTGGAATCAGCCTCCTCTCTCCTCACAGCTCCATTCCCAGTTGGAATCAGCCTCCTCTCTCCCTCACAGCTCCATTCCCTGCAGGAATCACCCTCCTCTCTCCCTCAGAGCTCCATTCTCAGAGGGAATCACTCTCCTCTCTCCCTCAGAGCTCCATTCCCAGAGGGAAACACCCTCCTCTCTCCCTCACAGCTGCATTCCCAGCAGGAATCCTCTGTTCCCGAGGTGGTGCTGCTGCCCCGGCTGATGCGGGATTTCTCGGAGCTGCTGGAGCAGCTGCTGCTGCGGGGCCAGGCCGTGGGGTTCTCGGGGCAGCTGCGGGCGCTGGT